TTGACGGGGATTTTGTTCAAGATTTGCAATGTATGTTGCCCCAAGAGACTAGGGGCTTGAACATATTTTTTTCCCGTGTCACAAAACAAATTTTCTTCAAGTTCGCAGATCACTGGTCTGTTGCCATTGGGGAACACATCCTGTCCCACAAATATATTCCAGTGGATGTGATCAAGCTTCCTTTGCGCTCTTCATTCTGTTCTATGCATGTTAACGCACTTTCATTCAGCTTCAGTGGTGTGTTTTTTCAAAGCCATTTGTTTTGCGTAAATTTCTGTGACGGGAGAAATTGGCAAAGTTTGATTTTAATGTGACAAATCAGTAATCACCCTTTATTGTCACGACAAAGGTGTCTACACCATCTATAAAAACTGAGGTGCTCATCCTGAAGTTAAACTTCCATCCTCCGTATTTTAGTGAAAATTACCTTTAGGCTGTTTGGGTAACTGTATCCAAGTGTCCTAAAACAATCAAGCTTTGCTGGGGTGAAGTACATGTACATATGTACATGTAGAAACGGGACAAAGCAGCGGGATGGTGTGGGGATGGTGCAAAGTGGCGATAGTGTGAAGTAAGGGGCGAAGTGACACGGGATGAAGTGGAAATAGGGCTAAGTGACTGACACCCTAATGGAAATAGGGAGCCTGCATGTATTGCCGTTTCTGATGAAGATGAAGGATGCCTGGGCTTGGCCATCAGTGTTCCAGATATCAGTTATGACGCCTCTCATTTCATCAGATGTTGTGAAATAATTCATTGCTTTTCACTTCAGGAAGTAAGAACCCTAAAAGTTCATTTTCATCTTATGGCTCATATTTTGTAGAACCTGCCCTATTTTCAGAAAGACTGTATTCTACGTGGTGTTGTAAGGCTTGTGGAAACAGTATTGTTTTGCATACCTTAAATGTAAGATCTTGGTTGTACGTGTATGGGTTTCTTGATAAAGTAACCAGTTTCTATTTTTTAAAAGATTTTGCATTCTCATGCCTGCAGTATATTATGTTACATGCATGTACGGTACATGTACTGGTATGAATTAATCACAAATGCGTACATGTACTGGCATGAGTTCATCACAAATGCGTGCATCTGAATTACATGTATACATTTTAATTTTGTTTTTGAATTTCTGTTATATTTCAGATCACCTTCTTAATATGCCAGTTCACAGCATTCTTCTATTCCTATCTGTTTCGATGGTACTTAAATCCAAGGAAGGTGTCTGCAACAACGCGGCACATTAGCCAAGTTCTCCTTGGCATTTTAATGGCATGCGTGTCATTTGGATGGTAAGACATGTAACATTTCACCAGACACTTACACAAGTATGTATGTTTGTACCATGTATGCAGTCAGTGTCATGCACTTCACTGATCAGTGTGCAACCTTGTCTCTTTATACTCATGTACATGTACATTCTTTCCGCACATTAATTCAAGCTTCCTTTATACATGTTTTCCCTCCCTTTTTACATGTACCGGTACATGTATACATGTATGGTAATTCATGTATGTATGTGTTCATTGTACATGTATTGTACAAAATGGCTCTTATGAAATCCTTATTACTGACCATAATGTACTCATTGGCCATTACATCATTCCGAGTGCTGTTTGCCATGCAACATGTACTGAACGTGTGCATGTACATGTACTGTACAGTATATGTTGGTATTTTGCATTTGTAATACCCAACTTTAGACTGGAATGTTTTCAGTACAAGTTTACACATGGATGGTATCTGCATAGAATCATACTGGAAATACATACACTGTGTACAAAAATGTACCCTGCTATGTACTTTTACAAGGTGTGAGCACTAAGTTATACTGGCAAGCCTGTGTTGCCAAGTAAATATTTGTCTTTACCTGAAGCTTTGGCAAAGGGATTTGTATTAACCCACTTCTTAGTGCTTACAACCACAGTTATGATGAGAAGGGCAAAGTCCTTCTACATGTACATGTATATGACAGAAAAGTGTGCAGAAGTTTAAGCATAGCCAACTGGTTTTATGCATACATGTACAGTACATGTATGTGAAATTTTGGTATTAGCACATGTACGTGTACATGTGGCTATACTACACTAGCCTGTTGGTTTGCAAAGCATGTCCTTGGGAAAAACTCTGAAAGTAACAGTACATGTACATGTAGATACTTCAGTCCTTTTGGTTTAAGGCATGTGATTGCACTCCTACTCCATTGCACTCCTAAAAGCTTCCCGAGAAGTGCAAATAATTGCACGGCTGAAACTGTCTGTACCGCACTTTCTCGGCATAAGTTTACTTTATAATTATTCTTCACAATTTGTGAAAAAAATGGAACAAAAAGAATCAAACAGTAGGCCTACCTAAGAGTTAGTGATGACAGAATCGGTTTTTATTCTCCCGGCGAAACGGTTGACATGGTTGAGTGCAACAGCTCTGTCAGTGTACAATCGTTCAGCACACGCACGTCGCACAGGGCGGCAGCAACTTTTGCTGCATGCGTAATGCTACATACACTAGACTGTACATGGCTTACATGCTTCTACACGTCAAATGCAGTGCTACGAGATCACACCAGTTTTCAGTCAAATTTTCCGAAAGGATTCCCTGATTATCCCAAGTTTTTTGTGGAGATGTCTGTCCTGTAAGTCGTTCCGATCACAACAATGGTATTTTTCAGAAAAAAAATTGGGCTTTTACTTGCATCTGCACGAAGTGATCTCCAGAAGTCGACATGCTTTCATGATGCAGGCTCCTGCGCCCTATGCGTAGTGAAACAACGAATTCCTTGAAGTTGAGACTGGGACCAGACCAATCAATCATGATGCACAACACAGTGCGTGAAAGCCATGGAGAGATCATGCCAGCGTGGATCACAGCAGATTTTTGTGTGCAGACACGTAAACATCCTGATGTTTCCCGATAAACTTTTTAGCGTTATGAACGGAAATAACTCACAGGAAGGAGATCTGGCAAAGAGAAACCTCTGGAAAATCGGGAGATTTATTTGAAAAATTTAATGGAGAATTGGAGTGACCTTGTGGCTCAGAGGAGCTCTGCATGGTCCGTCAAGGCTCGTATTATGGAAAGGGCATGATTCTGTGACTGTCATCAAACCTTGAATCTGTTCACATGTATTGGACATATCTCTTTGAGTTTGCTTGAAGTAAGCGGGTGTGATCTGAAACTGTTGCATTATTTTTTGTTGGTTTTGTTGATTGTATGTACAAAATGTTTACCCAATTTTATCTTTCTATTTTACAATGTCTTGATTGACCCAGGGTTTGGATTAATTTTTCAAAATCACACACCTAAAAAAAATGCACACCTGGAAATGTCCAGGAGTGCTTTTTTCACATGCCTGCAATTCCCAAATCACAAGGACTGATACTTTGTCCACCACAACAAGTAGTCTAGTGGGAACCTTTTACAATACGTACATAAATTGACCATTTGTAACTCACATTGTAAGGTAAAAGATATTATTATCCCGAATTCATGGCAGTAATATTCAAAGGGGGAACCTTGGTATTCTACAAATACTGCATAAGGCATATTGCTACAGTATGCATGGGCATGGTGGTTGTGGCACGGCATCTGCTTGGAATGTCAAAGCAGTGTTCACTAGTACACTTCCTTATATGACTCGTACATATACAAATGTGTACATGTATGTTTGTACGTGTACATGTACTTACAGTGTACATAATTTTTTGGTGGGAATTCGCACATTTTCATCTTTCTGTCAAAGCATTGATTTGCTTCTGGAAATTGACGTTTTCCTGGTACCACCCCATCGCTTCCCTTCCTTCAGTGTCTTCATCAGTGTGTTTCTTTGCTTTTTATTATTTTGCACTTTGTTAGCATCATGAAAGACATCCAGGAACCCAATTTGTTTTACGTTTATGTACATTTACAAGCTTACTTGTCAAATTCTGATTTTCCATATTTGCCATAACATGCATAATACATGTATGTACATGTACCACAGCATTCCCAAGAGGCTCTTCTGTACGTAATGTACATGTACGTTGTACATGTATGTACATGTACATATGTACAATGTACATGTACACGTAAGTACCGGTATGTACTCTTGACTGAATGTGCAACATCAGTGGGAAACATTACACTGTACGTGTACATGTACCAGTACCTTGTTTATTAATAGAATGTACATGTACATGTATACATGTACTTGGCAAAAAATGCCAATTTTTTCTGAATGTAAGTATATTAAACCAGCGATGTACAAATTATCGTGGAAATTAATTTGAAACTGAGTTTGTACATGTACATGTTTGCCCACCCATTGCTGTGATACACGCTTGGATGCGTTGGTGCATGGACTGAATTTGCCTCCTGATGGTAATCTGAGGTAGAGTGTGCCACTCATCGATAAAAGCAGTGGCAAGTTTTTGAGCTGTTCTACATGTTCTAGGCACCACTGGACATGACCAAATACAGCAATTGAGTTCATCCTGCGCATGCTTGATTGGGCTTACCGGTAGGTCTGGACTGAAGGCAGGCCACGGTGCAAGTTCAGTGAGATTGTCCTCAAGATACTGCATAATCACTCTGGCTTGAGGTTGTGCACTGTGACCTGACCTTAGTTCTGAACTTGTGGAATAGTAACTGAAATAAATAATTGATAGTTCTCAACTTGTCCAACGGGTTTCACTGAACTTAAATTTATTATGAAATTCCGGAACTTGTTTAAAACTTGTTGAAGAGTTTGCATAAATTAAATAAATCGTATATTTAAAGTGTAACACCATTTACTACTATTTAAAAATTAGGAACTTTGAAATACTAGTTTACAAATCAACCAATCAGATATGAGGATTTATGCAGGTATTGTATAAAACAAATGATAAATGCTTCATTTTTGTGCAGTGGTAAGAATAATTTCAAAAGGTGACAGGTGAAATGTTCCATTCCACAGGTGAATTGCACTCATAAACATTCGTTATTTGTATGATAAATACATTAATAAACAGGGATCTGCCGCTGCCGGTCGGGCCCGACCGGCACGCAGAATTGCTGACCAAATCAACTTTTCCGACCGGCACGTATTCCCGAT